ACAAGCCATGGATAACCCACAAGTCTTACCCACCGCTCTCTCCAAACAGAACTCACAGGCAAAGGGAGACACTGCCCTGCAATTCACAAACCTTCTCACTAACCCAGAAAACTTAAGACATCAAACTGTACATTTCAGCCACATTCCTGGCACCACATATTTTTTTACAGCGTCCAGGAGCCGGAGAGCAGCACGTTCCTCCCACTGCTGTAGGACATGGTCCTGCTGAGCAGGAGAAATGTGAGGGAGAGTACGTACTTGGAGCAGCACAAAAACTCCAGCAACTGCAGAGGGGAGCGTGCTGGCAGAAAAAGTGGCAGGCAACCCTCACGGGCAGGCCTGTACATCCCCACTGCCAACCCTGGCAGGCAGGTAGGCAAACACTGCAGCGAGCCCACAGCTCCTGGTGGCTCAAAACCAGAGCCCAACCAAAGCACGCGTTCCCCCTCCAAAAACAGCCTTCCCATAAGCCTGCCAAGGCAATTAGCAATCACGGTGCTTATCAGCTAAATACGCGCTACTTTTTGCGTTTATCAGCTGCAAACTGGACATGGCCTGCAGCCTGGAAGTCGGGCTCAGCCACGGCTGGAGAGATGCAAAAAGCAGCAGCAGCAGCACAATAAATACCTTTCCCTCTGAGGCAGAATTCTGCTCTCCATCCCCAGGTGCTGGAGCGAGATTACTGCTGATTCTGCAGCACAAACCTCCAAGAAAACTGTGCCACTGCACATAGAAGAGACTACAAGTGGGTACTGGCACGACACAGGACCCTGTCTGCAGACTTCCCAACTGAAGGGGGCGAGAAACAAGGCGGTGTGGCAGGAGGCAGAGCCAGGCTCCTTCCCAGCCAGGCTGGAAACCAGCGCTCAGCCTCTGTGGCTCCTGCAGCACAGCCAAAACCCCGGGCTCCTCAGGCAAGGAAAACAGCACTAGAGGAGGCCAGTAAGGAGAAAAAAACATGGAGCAGAGGGAGGGGAGGTGGGTTTGAGCCATGAAGGTCGAGCTGAACGCCGTGAAAAGCAACAGCCAGGAAAACCAAGCAGCTGCCCCAAGCCTCTGTGCCACGGATGAGGATGGCAGAGCTGGAGGAAGGCAAAGGGGCTGGCTCACACGCTGCACAACAGAGGGTGGCATGAGGGGGATGGCTCCTCCAGACGTGCCTAGCAAGGGAAAAAAAAATCTCCTCAGCAGTCGGGAGGCCAGTTTCTACGGGTAGGAGTCCCCTGCGCGCCTGCTGGTTTTTACGTGGGCTTTGATCTGCTCAGATTTCATGGAAGAACCACGCACTGCTGAACACAAGCAGCCTTCCCGGTGCCGGCCCTCCCCACGGGGCCCGCAGAGGCTGCGAGGCCGAGCCGAGCCCAGCGAGAGGGGGGCTCCAAGAGCCGCCTTTGCTCCCGCAGCGCCCGAGCGCCATTTCCC